ACGTACACGCGGGTTGACGTGTCGGCGCTGCCGCGCACTGTGTCTGTGCGCGTAGCCGGCGGCGAAGACGAGACGCGGCACGTGTTTGAGCTCTCGCCCGAGCAGTGCGCTAAGTATCGAGGTCTTCAAAACAAAAAGGTGCGCCTTGCGTACTCGGCGTACTTTGCGGGCGAGCTTGCCAAGCGAAGCGCAAAGGACGGACGCAAACGGCGCCGTGGCGCCGGCGCCGCGAGCGCAAGAAAGAAGCAGGCCGCACCCACAGCCCGGTCGCCCGCCGACGCGAGTGACGGAGAGGGTGACGAGCAGATGCGCGACGCATCAGACGCGCAGGATGACGGTGCAAGCATGTCCGAGGGTGAGTAAAAGTGTGAGGTTTGGTGGAGGCTGTAGCGTCGTCGCGCGTAAGAAGCGTGGTGAAATTTAGAAAAGGAGTTGCGGTGTTGATCGCCGCGGGAGCCGTCTTATACCCCACCTTGCAACGGTCATATGCCGGTCGTCTTTGCCTCGCTGATCACTCCGTACGCTTTCGCTGCCTCGTTGATCACTCCGGTCGCTGTTTTGCCTCGCTGATCACTCCTGTCGCTTTCGCTGCCTCGCTGATCACGCCGACTCTTACCACGCCGCCTCCGCGACACTGCCAGCCAGGACGCTCCCCACCGGCTATCCTCTCGCTCGACTCCGGCTTTCGCTTCTGCCCGGATCCGGCGGAGCGTGCCGCTCCGCTGGCTGAGATTGCCGAGTTTGAGGCGCTAGCACTCGCGCTTCCTCGTTTTTACCACGGGCAGGAGCCGCCGCAGCAGTACAAGAGAACGCTGCTGGCCGCCGCTGATGCTGTCGCCACCCGTGCAGGAGGTCCAGAGCGTGTAGCGGCCACTATGACCGAGGCGCAGCTCCAGCGAGCCTTTGTGGTGCTCTCGTTTCTCGTCCATTACTACGTCTGGTGCGAAGACGGCGCGGCAGAGCAGGTGCTTCCGCGCACGATTGCCACGCCGTACTGGCACGTCGCCAAGGCGCTTGGCTGCGAGCCAGTCTACACTGACGCAGTCATCATGTGGAATATGGTTGGAGCTGGCGGCGACAGCACGGCCGACCCAGACCTGATCCATCTCGAGTTCTCGTGACGCAG